ATGCATTGAAACAGATTGCTCTTCCGGGTAATTTCGAGTCATTTGTGCATTATTTTTATTAATGCATGCCAAAGCATATGTTTTCAATGCATTATCTATCATTATAAAATGTTTATGAAAAATGTATCATTCGAAGTTTCAACATTATTTGTAAAAAAATTCGCAGAAAACACGAAAAAAATTCAGTGAAATGCATTATTTCATAAAATAAAGGAAAATAAGGGATGATTTTCCATTATTTATCGATTATCGGCTACATGGGTAGATATCGGTATTGTGCATATGTGTATTGATGATAATAGTCAGAACAGTTCGATTAGATTTTAATTTCTTTATCACTCCTGATATTTCACTCTATCTCGCACAATATAGAAACAAAAGGTTACACATAACAGATGTTACGGGTATATACCAATAGATAGCATAACTTTGTTAGAAAAATAGATGAGTGATTTTATCAAAGAAAAGAAAGTAGTAAAGAAAGAAAATAACAGAAAATACCAAGGAAAAGACCTAACAGAACGAAAGAAAAAGTATAACTATAGTTAACGATATATTTCTACACAGCGAAAGATAATGAATACGTATAGAAAATTCCTTTAACAGATATGTGTTATGCACGTTTGCGTATGTCCATAACATAGTTACTTTTTACTAATCAAGTAAAAATTAAAGTGCCTCTCTCGTTTCCACTTCCACAATTTTCAACTGGTTATGATACATAAATATATTGAGGGAAATAATTAATCAGCGCAAAAGGTCGTACTCATGTGCTGTGTGAAACACGGACTGAATACTATTCCTCATGAAAGAGCTATATTATATTTTTCTCCCATGTGGAAGGGATAAAACATTGCCTTTCCTCCGATACTCAGAAATGACTTTTTTTTCTTTTTTCTTGTCCATTTTTCCTTTTTTTTGCATCAGCGGAATATTCCATCAAAGTATACGATATTTTCTCGAGTAGTTGTTTTCATCTACGATGACGATCATTGAGCCAATACTTGTTCTGAGAGAGCGATTATAATGGTAGGTTTTTTTCATACATAATGGATAAGCCATTGACATTCCTTCTATTCTGAGAAACGTTTTTTTTTCTTGTGTCATCTGTATTTTCCTCTTTCTACATTAGCAGAATATTCCATCAAAGTATACGATATTTTTCTAAGTAGTTCTTTTCATTCATTATGAGGGCCATTGGGCCAATACCTATTCTGAAAGAGCGACCATAATGGAAGATTTTTCCATACAAAATAGATAAATCATTGTCATTATTTCTATCCTGAGAGACTTTTTTTCTTTTCTCTTCTGCATATTTCCTTTTCTTACATGAAATGAACGCTCAATGAGAATATACGACATTTTCAGAAACAGGCGCACACATCTACGATACAAGCTGTTGAGCCAACTTTGTTGATAATGAAATATGTTGCAGTTGAGTTTGGAATTGCTTAATTTACTTTCTTTGTTAATAGACTTTTATGGAGTGCAGCAGAAAATTTGTTTGATTGTTATCAACTTTATTTCTTTTATTATTTCTTGAGTGATAACAAGAGATTTTATTTTTTCTTTGATTGATAAATTGTTATCTCTTATATTATTTACCCTTTTTTTTTGTATCATTATATAGATTAGATATGGTATCGGTTTTAATGAAGTTTTCAATATTAATAATGGTGGAAAATGATCTAACATATCACGTTTTCACTGAATTCATATAGATTACAGTTAAATGTTTCTTTCGATGCTGGGGGCATTGACTGATTGTTTGAAACGAAATCGACAGATATTGAGCTACTTTTGTATATAGACTATTTCATTTAGCAGCGTTATATGAGAACTTTGAATGTTTGTTTAAATATTTATCCTAGTGAAGTTACTCATACAGTAGTACGCGAAGAGTAGTCATGCTAGAAAATGTCACGAGTACTCCTCGTGTAATAATGCCTGTTTTGTGAGTATTCCTATCTACTTTTTGTGTACTCTGCAGGTTTATATAAAATACTCATAAGCGTACATTTATGCTAGCATTGTTGTGCTGCATAGACTTTTATTTATTATCAAACTATTAACAAAATTTACAGTCACACGCATTGAATTTTGAAAAAATGATCAAAACAAGAACTACAAATTTAACTTCAGGTTTATGTATTTTAACACAAAGAATATAGTCATAGAAATCTTCACTAGTTGCGAAAAAGTTTAAACTATTTCCTGTCTCTTTACAATGAAAATACGACTATAATGATTCTTTCTTTTTTTTTGTTCATTGTATTAATAAAATCGTTTTTTTATTGTATACAAGTAAGAAAATATCCAACTAGCTTCAGTCATAATGGAAAATTCCTTGTCTATACCTTAAAGAGTAAGAATAAAATGAAAGACGAATGGAAGATAGTTCATACGATGATCAAGAAACAATAGCAAATGTTCTACTGATAATGAGAAATAAAAGAACACGTAAGGATGTAGGTGTGGTGGTGGGTAAAGAGAAGATCAACACTCTCACCCCAATCAGTGATAAATATAGACCATAGGGGTGTGGGTGGGTGTGGGGTGTGGGTGTGGGTGGGGTGTGGGTGTGGGTGTGGATGGGTGTGGGGTGTGGGTGTGGGTGTGTGGGTGTGGGTGTGTGGGTGTGGGTGTGTGGGTGTGTCGATGTGGGGTGGGTGTGGGTAACAGTCTTTAGTTGAGACACATCAACACCCACACCCACACCCACCCGCACCCTAGTCGATATTCATATTTCAAACAGAAAATGAAGTTCTACTATTTTCTGAAACACAATTAGAGTTTGGGTGTGGATCATCTCGTCATTCACACGCCCACACCCACCCCATAATGCTCTTATTCTGCAGGTTTTCATTAAATGACAAAGTCTTCATGGTCTTGGCTGTTTTCGGAGATTGCAAAATTCCGTTAAAAGCACCTTTATTCTTCTTTCATGACTTATAAAAAAACAACTTTTTTTGGTTTCGAGTTTTTCGCTGAAATGGGAAATTCCATTGTCCTCTATCAATCGACTTACAAATAATAATAATAGGAGCAGCAACAAGTTTATCTAGATATTGAAATATGATCTGCAGCTTAAGAGTTATTTTTGTATTCGGAAAATTTGCAGAAACGAAGAATTTTTTTGAAGTTGTATAGAATTACATATTTCTGTTCAATATGCTTCGTGTGAATGATTTCGAGTTCGTGGTGCCACATGAAGATTTTGAATGATCGATTCTACGATAATAAACAACAAACCAATGTGTAGGTATGAACTCAATAATTTATTGCGAGTTAGTGTTATTCGTCAATGTGCTCCAACAAATAACTAAAAGACGAAACGTACTTCATTCACGAGCGTATAGCATACTACCTATTGACATGATATACACGGTTGGAAAAAATATTATTCAAGGGGGGTAACGCTATAATTTCAAATAGGAGATATGATGAATTTTATACCAAATAAAAGCCTGTGAAAAATGGAGTTTATTGATGCTAAATAGTAAGGGTTATGTAAACTTTTAATATCGAACTTAAGAAACTTTCAGAAATTTTATACATTTTTAGGGGTGGAAAAGGAAGGTGTTAGTAATTCAGAAATGGAGTAAAATGTTTTTCTTGGATATTTTTACATGGTTCGATAGAGCTCGTCGAGCTCTACAAAACTGTATATATTCAAAATTTTTCGAATAGGATTCTTGGGTTGAAATTCACTGAAAACTGTCTAAAGAAAGTACCCAAAAATCCGCATTTTTTACACTTTTTATAGGGAAAAAGTGGTCTTTTTTGCAATAAATTCAGTTGTTTTCCATTAGTATCCTTATGTAAAATGTTTGAAAATATACTCATTCGGTGCAGTTTTTCACGCTGCATCGAATGAGTATATTTTGAAACGCCTGAGCCAGTAAAAATAATGAAAAAAAGCTAATTTTATTGAAAAACCGAGTTTTTTTCTTCTATATCAAAAAAATCAGTTTTTTTAACTTTTTTTAAGATTTTCCAAATAGTTTTTTTAAATTTTTTATCACAAAAAAATCACTTGAAAATTTTTTAATATATACAGTTTTGTAGAGCTCGACGAGCTCTATCGAACCATGTAAAAATATCCAAGAAAAACATTTTACTCCATTTCTGAATTACTAACACCTTCCTTTTCCACCCCTAAAAATGTATAAAATTTCTGAAAGTTTCTTAAGTTCGATATTAAAAGTTTACATAACCCTTACTATTTAGCATCAATAAACTCCATTTTTCACAGGCTTTTATTTGGTATAAAATTCATCATATCTCCTATTTGAAATTATAGCGTTACCCCCGTGGAATAATATTTTTTCCAACCGTGTACATGTCATTCGAATGCTATTATGAACCGTTTACAAATTGACGAAATAGAGCTTGAATGTTGAAATAACGAATGGTCAACTGGTTCAATACTCATTTATTAAATCAAAGAATAGAATGAACTGAACAAATATTTTCATTAACTTATGTTTATATCGGACTTTTCCAACTGAAAGCATCGTTTGAGAAAGGCGTTGATTTGTTCTAGAAGGCTTTGATATTAGTTATATGATGAATTTTTGAAACTAAGAATAAACTTACGTATAAATTTTAGTTCGATTTTACGATAGACGAACGGATAGTAGAATACTAAACCGAATAGAAGAAGAATCGAAGCAACAAGAAAGCCAATATTCGGATTGGAAATCACCGGGGTAACAACCAGATAGATTGAAATTAGAATAATGATAATAATTAACGGTATTGGAACCTTTACAGAACCAAATGTGTTGCTTATTTGATTAGAAAATTAAATTTTACTTACACTAATCACTCGGTCGACTTCTTTTTTCGTGAATTTACAACATAGAGTTGCAACAAATGTTAATCCATAGAACATCCAAGCGACAAAACTGAAAAATTCGATCAATGATTGGATATTGCTCGGAATGCAAAAGACGACTGACAGAATTCCCTATAAATATTTAGAAAGCAATCGCCTATTAACAAGAGTTATATGTCGCTTCAACCTCAAGAACAATTGCAGGCAATGGCGTCAATCGTTGCTTTTGAATACAAGCAAATACTTCTGGTAGATAGCCATAACGAGCACCAACCATACAATAACGACCGCTCATAAATAGAGATCCATTACAAGTACCCAGTGCACTGATAGATATGAGAATGAGTAGAACACGAACGACAGGACCCAAAACAACATTTCCCCATGTCTATTGAGAGCAGAATTATAAAAAATTGTGGCTTAATTTACAGCTTACCACAGCGACAGCATTCGAGCTAAGCAATGTTGCGTTATTCATCACTGTGAAATAGGATATATTCGTAAGAAGATATGTGACGATAACAGATGGTAAAGCCAAAATAATGGCAAGCCATAGATTTCTATGAAAAAGAGCATGGAGTAATATACACTGCTTATTTTAGTCTTTCAAAAGGATAATGCTGGGATACGATCGAAAATTCATCGTCATCCGTAAAACTGTTCCATCTAGTTAAACTGGAAGACAATATTTTTTTTTGCGCACCTCTACGTAGTTTGTGTTATTTTTTACCCGAATATTCCCATGATTCACAGAATGTATTCGTCGTCGCTAAGACAATTTTCATCGAAAATAATTAATTCGTGAAACAAGTAGAAAAAATCACTTTGGTAAAGGTTGTTTTTATAATGCCAAACAATGTTTGTTTTTTTTTTCATAGCTTCTTTCGTATCTTGCGCAGGTGTCACCAGAAGACTAACTTATTACCAAGTATTCGTATAATATTTGATGCTTGTATTTACTTCAGATTTGGAATCGCCTAGTTTAGTGTATTTTCAAATATTAGAAGATTTCTTTTTCACTGGCCTTTACAAAATATAATTTCCTGTAAAACTATCTTGAAGGCGAAAGTATTCGGTCGTTTGGTGCGGATATTACACGTGAGAGTGGGAATGAGAATCAATGGTCATAGTTTTATCAATCTCATCTCAACTCACATCTCTATATTGTTGCTTAGTTGGTGACGGATCAATCAAAATGTTTTAATACTTCGGTAATTAAATGTCAAAGCATGTATAGATATAGAAAAGGCGTTTTTTATTTAAAAAATGCTGAAAAGAAAATTTGTCGAGAAACATTATAAACATAGACGAATTTAACTAGTCCACAGAAAGCATAGAAAAAATCTCCATAATAAAGTAATTCATTTTTTTAGCAAAATGACTGAAGTTTGGATTATGATATGCACTGACAAAAATTCGAAATTCTAAAATCCAAAGATTGTAGGCACATGCATAATAATCGTATTCTTGAATCAGGTATGACTTCATCCTTTGGACAAAATTTTTCCCTTAGAAAATCTCGATATTATTCTCCATTGCTTAGAGAAGAAGCATAGAAACGTCAAGAGTTCCTCAAGCAATCAATCTAAACCGAAGCAACACTCCTAATAGTAGAATATCAACTAATAATTTTAGTCTTTATATTTGCGACCTCAGTGCACAATATTATAGCCATACTTTGGCGAAATAAAGGAATCTTCGAAAAAGTATTGCGTGAGAATTTAGATACTATTCGAGCGAACTATTCTCAATCATTGAATAGAAAATTTATATTCCGAGATTAACCACTGCTCAACTACTGCTTTCTTTCAATTCTATCTCACGTTCAGATTTTTATATGTTTTGTAATCCACGAAAAAGTACGATGAATCGTTCGGACTGTATGCAAATATATTTTCATCTGATCAATATTCTGTACCTTTTCCGATTTTTGAGCTCTTCTGTTACCGCATTCAAACAATTCCAACCATCGTACGCCCAAAGTCCGGAATAAAAAGCAAGTGCAATGCCCAATGGTTTCTTTGTTGTACCTATAGTAGAAAATATTCATTTGAGACTCTTTTCTGCTTCATTGTACTGACCAGAAAAGCCATTCTGTAGATTTTGTGTGTATCCTATAAAGGTATATAGTACATCAAAAATTCTACTCATGATATGTATCCTTTCGATTGATACACAAACCTTGTCCAAGTCGAACAAGACCAACAATGATGATCGTTAGAATAGTAAGAAACTTACATATGACAAACACGATATTCAAACGATTTGCTGCTTGTACACTAATTGAATTGACACCAATGAGGATCACTAAATGAGAAAGCAAAAGTATGATGATGGCTTATCTGAACGTTGACGCACAAAGAGTAACGATAGCTATTATCTTAACGAGTTTTTCGGACGGATCATGATCTAAACGAAGAATTTGAAGTATGATATTACATTGACAATAAAATAAACTACCATTGATTATTCCAAATAAAAGGTATTGTGAAAAGGTAAGAGCAACTACAGCAATAGCTGCTGGTTGAAGAATGAATATAGTTGACCAATTGAATATAAAAGCCAAAATTTCGCCGGTTCGTTTATGAACGGAACCAATACCTGTGATTATCAGTAGTTCCAGGATTTATTTTTTCGGGACTCTTTAGGATTTTTCTATAAAACCTTCCCATATCTGTTATCATCAAACACAAAAGAATAGACTGAGGACAAGTACCTAGTTGAGAGTGAGAACTAATTAACTCTTCTAAACTATAATTCTCTTTTGGTACAGATCAAATGTATTATATAGTCTTCATAGATAAATCCCTCCAAAAAATAAATCCTGGTAACCTCTTTCCATGTGGTCACAATGGAAATAATGGATGCAATTATGTGATAATGCAGTCTATTTTCATGTGTAATTGCACCATTATTCGACCACACGGGTCGTGGATATATGTTTGATTGTCTGTCACGTCGAATGAACACGTTTTTTTGACAAAGTGAATGCATAATACCTTCTTGAATATAAGAGAGCTCTGTACCACTTAGCGGTATAACTGTACCAATTTCCGCATAGCATAAAGCTCCTAGAAATATATAAATGCAAAATTTTGAGACATTTTACAATGTAATCAGATAAGATTAGATGCGTCACTATTTTAATGGAAGAATTGGCGAGTTATGAATGTCCGTTTCGACTGATTTAACAAGACATACTAAGTAATTCATGTCAAATTTGAACTATTTACTTCAAATTTATGTGCACTCTCTCTCTAGATTTTCTCTAATGAAAATAGAAAGCTAAAGTGACATTGGACCATTGATCCATGCAGCACCATGTAAAGCGTAGTTTGATAAAAAATATGACAACGATGTTCAAGGAAATTTTTATATATTATAGAGCGTACTTTCAGAAAGTGTTTTATGCTTACATATAAAAGTATAGTCATAAGTTTCAATCATAACCAATTTGAAGATTTCCTTCTTTAAGGACAAAAATGTCTGCTTTATTGATGAAAAGAAAACATGCTTTCCTCAGAGAATCGGTATGGCATCTGTATTCTGGAAAGAATTGAATGTGATTTGGATTGAAATAAGAATCTGTCATATAAAGGATTCTTGATTATTTTTAAGAGTGTGTATGGGGGAACTAAAAATGGATGTGAGTGGACTTTTCAATTGAAACACTTAGACCTGCACCCTCAAGATCATTTTGAAATTTAGTGACTGGTTTCATAAGATGCCTGGATATAGTGCTGACCAATATCAGCCAAAAAAACAAAACTGCACATTGCGTCTATGATTAGACTAGATCTTCAGAAAAAAACTATTAGCTAGCAAAAATTTGAATTAAAATAAGTATTATTTCGTTTAGCAGTCAGGTAAAACAATTTTGTTTGTTACTGAATACACTATTAAACTAATATCTTAGGCTAGATAACTATTCTTTGTTGAATTTGAGCTTTGCTACATTTTGAAAAGTTCTTTATCATAATGTCCTATAAGAGGGACAGTCAGTCGCAACAGGTTAGCAAGGTTCGGTATACCATGAAGTAATCACAGCATGTTTGTTGTCTGTCAGAAGGGTGCGGGTGTATGGATATTGGCGCATGCAGTAGAAGACAAGACTCATACCCACACAGCCACAAGACAGTTTCAAAAACTATTAAATAGATTTTCAACGTGAAATATTGTGAGTTCTAGCTGCATAACGAAAAGATCTAAAAGATAGAATTTTTATATATGAAAGCATCATGCATCCAATACCATCGTCCTTTCGGCATAGAATTAATTGTTCAGCTTACCAACTAGTACAATAAGGCCGCTAGCTACCCAAATGATAAGACATAAACCAATCGATTCACTGTAGAGTAGAACACCTTTTGGTGAAACGAATATACCCGTGCCTTGGTAGAAAATTGCTCTTGAAGAAATGTATCGATCTTGTTAGTATTGTGTGCACTTACCGATGATAATTCCAATAATAAAACTTATTCCTGAGAAGAGACTTAGATTTCTTTTGAGAACTGTCTTCTCTGTCCGTGATACAATGCCTGGTGCATCTTCATTTACTTTCAATCCATTTGCCAAATCTTCATTGGCAGCTGAAAGAGAACTAATGAGCTGTTGATTGGCATATGGTTCGTCAACTGTAATTGAAGAAGGAGAAGATGATGAAGCAGCAGCTTCTACTTGGTTTTCCTAAAGTTTGGACGATGTTTGCCTGTCATTTCATTTTTTGTTTATTACCTGCACAAACATGTGATGAAGAAAACTCGGCGAAGTTTTCTTTCAAGAGGTGATAAAAAAAACTTTCGATAATGTATTCCCTCACTAGATATACTTATCTCAAGATTCATAGGCGGCGGAACGTTTTGAATCTAGGGTAGGCTCAACATTTTTTAATAAGACTCTGACCGATGGATTAGAAATAGAGGGGTAATTTTTTCTGCTATACTGTTCAACTAAACACAATTAATACTGCTTATTTCTAACTCTACTTTTTGGTTCTCAGTATGAGTTCATATCAGAGGTGAGTTTGCAATTTATTGCAAA